GGAGTCCTCATCCTACTACTAACTGACTAGACAACTTCAACCAAGACCCTACATTTCTTGTGCTAACTGTCCAGTAAAATGGGAATGCTAGGAAATCCCGTTCTCCTGTTTCCCCCTTACTTTCCCACCCTTGTCGCTACTCTTGTTGGTTAAGTTAAGTATGTTCAGATAGCTGGGGCCCAATAGGAGTGGGATGTGTATTCCAAAATGGCAGCATGCCGATGCCACGGCGAGTCTTGATGCACCTTTGTACCCCATGCAGGACCTATCTGGAGGAGGAGCTCACCAAAGCTAGGAAGAAGCCCAGCCTTCGGAAGGACATGTACCAGAAGATGATTGAAGTGGACCCTGATGCCCCAACAGAAGAAGAAAACAATCAAAGGGCAGTGACCAAGCCCCGGTACATGCAGTGGAGAGAAACCATTAGCTCAACAGCCACCCTTGGATTCAGGATTGAGGGCATTAAGGTAAAGAAGGAAGGAGGGGATGGGGAGGTGGGGCCACTCAGAACAGGGCTGTGGCAACCCTGCTGTTGGTATGGTGGGAGCCACGAGGATCTCAACTTTTACCAACCCACCCTTTCGAGCCTTTCCAAAGAGTAAGTCATGGAATTCTTCCAGGTCTTTGGTTATTGCTGAGTCGTGTCTGACTCTTTGTGACCCCATTTGAGATTTTCTTGGCAAAGATACTGGAGTGGTTTGCTATTTCCTTCTCCAGCTCATTTTACAGATGAGGCAACTGAGGCAGACAGGGTTAAATGACTTGCCCAGGATCACACAGCTATTAAGTGTCTGAGTTCAGATTTGAACTCAGGTCTTCCTGACTCTTGGCCAGACAATCTATCTGTGCCACCTAGCTTCCTCTAGGCAGCTGTTCCTCTAGGACACAGGGCCATTTTTTTTCCCACATGTATAGAACTGAGATGTTGTAGTTACATGCAAACATACTGCTTATAGGAGCCAAACTCAGCCTGCCTCTAAGAAAAAGGCATTCAATCATTAAAATTTAAGATCACAAAAATCAGACATCCAAGCCTCTAGATGACCTGGGCATAAAATCATAGATTTAGAGCTAGACCACCATCAAATCCAACCCCTCCTTTTTATAGCTGAGCAAACCAAAGTATAGAGAGGTTAAGCAACTTACTCAAGGTCACACAGCTGATATTAGAGGTCAGATTTGAACTCAGGTCCTCCTGATTTCAAGTCTAACACTCTTATCTACTACTCCGTAGTGCCTCATCATGGTGTTAGGTCCTGCACCCAAGCATTTCTATCATTGAGGCCAAAATCTTGGTATAAGATTAGCGGAGAAAACAGGTTTCACCCCCTTAAGGGAAGGAACTTTCTAGCTTATCTTCCTACAGTCAGAACAGGATAGTCAGAAATCAGCCATGGCCCACCAGTAGGCCAGCTCCACAGAGGCGTGGTCAGCTAACTCCCAGAAACTGCAAGCATTGTGAGAGAGGGATGGTTGGGAGGGGGCGGTCGGGGATGGCCATTTTCGCTTCTTTCTCTGGGCATCCAGGAAGGCAGAGATTGTTTACTCAGCATCAAGGAGGCAGCCAACACATTGCCACCCAGGGCAGAACCAATTCCCTCTCAAGAAACAGCCTGCTTAGTCAGAGAGCAGCCCTGGTCTCCCATTAAAAAGCAAATAAATAACCTAGGGTTAACATACATTGATTAAGTCGTAGTTCTGTGCAAGGCAGCATGTCATAATGGTTAGAGCATCAGCCTTGAAACTAGGAAGACCTGGGGTTGAGTTGCCCATCTGACACATGTTAATTGTGTGACTGGGCAAGTCACTTAGAATTGCTCCAGGTAGCTGTCCAAAACCCTAAGTGATAGAGAAGGTACTGATCTCTATTGGTAGAGGGGCTTTCCTTCTCTGGGAGGTCTCTATACCAATGAAATTACAGGTTCAGTCCCCATAATAATAGCTAGCATTTACATAATGTATAACACACTTTTTTTTGCAAAAGCAAAAAAAAAAGTTTGCAAAACATTTTACAGAAATTACCTCATAGGATCTTCACAACTATCCTGGGAAGTAGTCGCTGTTATTACTCCCATTTTACAGATGAGGAAACTGAGGCAGACAGTGCTTAAGTGACTTGTCCCAGGTCACACAGTTTATAAAGGTCTGAAGCAGGATAATAATGATGATGATGATGATGATGATGATGATGATGATGATAGCAGCTAACATTTCTATAGCTCTTACTATTTGCCAAGTACTGTGCTAAGTGCTTTACAACTACACCGGGAAGTAGGTGCTATTGTTATCCCCATCTTACAGGTGAGGGAACTGAGGCAGAGAGAGCTTAAGCAATTTGTCCAGGGTCACGTAGCTTGTAAATGTCTGAAGCAGGATAATAATAATAATAATAATAATAATATCTATATAGTACTTAATATGTGCCAGATGCTGTGCTAAGTGCTTTATAATTATTATCTCATTTGACCCCCACATCTACCCTGGAAACTTGGTACTATTATTATCACCCCCATTTTACAGATGAAGGAACTGAGTCAGAACTGAAGTAACTTGTCCAGGGTCACACAGCTAGTAAGTGTCTGAAGCAGAATAATAATAATAATAATAATAGTAACAATACTATCCACTGTACAGCCTAAAAAACATAGAGCTTTAAGATTTGCAGAGCATTTTACAAATATTACCTCATTTGATCCTCACAATGACCCTGTGAGGTAGGTGTTATTATTATTATTACACATTTTACAGATGGAGAAACCGGGGCAGGGTCTTGGGTCACAAAGCCAATAAATGTCAGGCTAGATTCGAACTCTGTTCTTCCTGACTCCAAGACCAGTGCTCTATCCACTGCACCACCTATCTGCCTCTTTCTAGCTTGTCCTAGGCACAGTGGGAGGTCTCCAAAGATAAGTCTGATGCAAGCTCTGCAACCCATCAAGGGTGGTAGAACGGGGATATAAGACCAGAAATAATGTGATGTGAGGAAGAGGGAGAAAAATGCAGAAACATCTAGGCAGAGTGCTGTGAGAAACTCAGGAGGAGAGAGGTCTCTTGGAAGTTCAGAGAAAGTTTCTTGGAGTAGGGCTGGCGGACAATGGGAACAGAGGTAGGGAAGGGGGAGGAAGGTGGATGGGAGAGAGAGTGGTCAAGAGGCCTTTTTGTTAGAAACACAGTTGTCCAGTGCAACTAACGAGGGCTCGAAAGGGTTAAGTCAGGGTTTGGTTAGCTGGTGGCCTGTCAAATCCCTATTCAATAGAACACCCTCAGTTGCTTTCCATTTTCCTCTTCAGTTCAGACAAAGGTCTCTTCTCTGGCTTCCTCCAGAGTGAGCGGTCAGGGGAGGCGTGCTGTCTTGTGGAGTCATGCCCACCCTTGTCTTTGTTCCTGCAAATGTTCCCAGCTGACGTTTCAGACACACCTGCCACACACCAGGCCAGGTCGGCGGATCTCTCCAGATGAGGTCAGTGGAGAGAGCAGGTTGGTGCCAGATGTGCAGATGGTCTCCTTGAGGTCATCTTGTCTGACCTCCTGCCTCGGTTGAGAACTGCCCCTAATCCCTCTGCCCTCTTTTCAGAGACATCCAGAGGAGGGGAGTGCATCCTCCCTCAGAGTCCCATTCTGTTCCTGTTTTTCCCTGCAGAGCCTCATTCAAGGTTTTGATTTTGAGTTCAAGGTTTTAGTTGATGCAGGATTCGTGATGAATTTATAAATAAAAAGCTGCCAGAGAGTTGTATTACACTGCCCATGCTTTTTCAGCTAGGGTGTCTAATTTTCAGGCAGCATCTAAACCTGCCTCCTAATGTAGGTAATAGTCCAAAGAGACCAGCTTTGCTGTGGTCCCCCAGGTTCCCCCCTATGAAACACAGAGGCTTTCTGAGAGCCTTGATAAGTAGTATTACCTTTCCTCTCTAGCAACTATTTAGCATCCTTAAACCAATCTATTTTTTTCTTTTAAACCTTTGGACAGGATGAGAATTATATTTTTATCCCATTCCCTGCCTCCTTTTTTCATCTTCCTTTCTTTCCTTTTGTCCTTTCCAAACAAATCACTCTCTTCCTTTATCTTCTCCTCTTGGACAGGATGTTCTTCTGGTCCCTGTCCATTGTCCTGTTGTGGGAACAGATGCAATCCTCCTCCATGCCAGAATTACACTGAGTTAGAGAGAAACAAACTGTTTATCCTAGGGCTCCCTCTCTACTCCATGGAGGCAGCTACGCGGCTCAGTGGATAGAGCACTGGGCCTAGAGTCAGGAAGGCCTGAGCTCAACTCTAGCCTTAGACACTTACTAGCTGCATGACCAGAAAGTCACTTTAACTTCTGTTTGCCTTAATCCACTGGAGAAAGAAATGGCAAACCACTCCAGTATTTTTGCCAAGAAAACCCCGTGTGTGATAACGGTCCATGGGGACATGAAGAGTCAGACACGACTCAATGACTGGACGATTCCTCCACTCCACTGTCCAGGAAACACACTCCGCAGATGAGCCTTGGTACAATTTGGTCACTCTTATTTGTGTCACCGGTTCTCTGTTCCTCTTTCGGTCCATATCTTGTTCTTCCAATGCCTGTCTTCCTCTTCCAGAAGTAACCTGGCTAAGAGTGGATGGTCTGCAGTAACCCGCTAGGTGGTGAGGAGAGCTGCCCTTATTAACCCTTCACATGTAAAGAGTAAAAGTTCAGTCAGGTCTCCTTCATGAGAGACTAGAATAAGGCGTGTGACTCAAGTGCAGAATGATCCTCTTGGCTTGGTTGTTTGGTGGGGAATTGAGTTGGTTAGGGAAAGGATAATATTGCAGCTTTGTTTTTTAGGAGAACCGGAAAGGAAAGGTCTTAGATTGCTGAAGAAAGCCAAGTTTAACTTTATTCTGTCTCTGTCAGAGAGTCAGAGGAAGGCTAAACACTTTGCCTCCTACCCAGGGAGGGAGAGTGAGTGTCACCTCTGGATTTCCCATGGCACTAGATTAAGGCATTTATTCTCTTACAGCAGGTACCCCATTCTATCCAGGAGCCATTTTTCCTAACAAGGCCCCAGCATGAAAGCAGAAGCCAAGACTTCATCCCTTAATGAGGTGGGGGTGTTGCTCTCCTTTTCAGAAAGAAGATGGCTCTGTGAACCGAGATTTCAAGAAGACCAAAACAAAGGAGCAAGTTACTGAAGCTTTCCGAGAATTCACCAAGGGAAATCGGAACATCCTGGTGAGTAGCACACCTCTTGAGCCTTCATCAGAAGAATGGAATCTGGAGAAGAGTGTTCCTCTTCCTGTAAGCTCCTTGAGGGCAAGAATTGTGTCAATTATTTTTCTTTGTAGCCTCAGTGCCTAACAGAGTGCCTGGAACATTGGTAGGAGTCTGTTCAGCACAGGGTCTCGACATTCACGCTTGGAAAATGAAATAGGATTCCTACTAAGTAGGCAGATAACTATTGTACTTGTATAATCTGTCACCCTTATTTTGCTTTTCTCCCTGAAGTCCACTGAAGTCCTTATTATATTAGAACGTAGCTTTTAGCACTAGAAGGGCCTCAGAAATTATCTAGCCCAACCCTCCTTGTATTGCAAATGAGGAAATTGAGGCCCTGGAAAGTGACTTGCCTAAGGTCAGGCAAACTGGTAAGAATTCATGGCCTAGTAGATTCAGCACACTTCATTCCAAAGCTGTGTTAGTCTCTGTTGCATACTCACACTTAGGAAGCAGTTAGGTGACGGTGTATAGAGCACCAAGCCTGGAGTCAGGATGACCCGAGTTCAAATTCAGCCACAGGCACTTAATAGCTGTGTGACCCTGGCAAGTCACTTAACCCTGTTTGCCTCCGTTCCTCATCTGTGAAATGGGGACTCACTGGAAAAGGAAAAGCCAAACTCTCTAGTATCTTTGCCAAGAAAACCCCATGGGCATTGGTCTATGGGCTCATGAAGAGTCAAGTACACTGAACAATGTGTGAGTATATATGTATGTGTGTGTGGGCGTGCATGTATGTATGCATGTATATACACATATGTTGCTCATAAAAATTTTTAAGTGCCACATAACTGTCACCTTTTATACATATACATGTATATACATACATACATATCATATATATAATCATTATATATTTATTTATATATATGTATGTATGTATTCATATACAAGCTAATTTGATCCACCCAGCAGTCTTGTGAATTAGGTGCTATTATTATCCCCATTTTACACATGAGGAAACTCACACCTACCTCACAGAATTGTTGTGAGGACCCAGTGAAATGATGTATGTAAAGCGCTTTAAAACTCTTAAAAGTACCATATATGTGTCGGCTATTATTCCTATTCCTGACTCTCAAGTCTAGCCCTCTGTCCACCAGAATGACTTGTGTTTTCTGCAGTCAAAGAACCTGGATTCAAATTTAATTACTCCCTGCATTCCTTTGAATAAGACCCTCGACGTCTGTTTCTTCACCTGAAGGACCAGGGGGTTGGACCATTGTTTCCAGCTCTTGTTCCATGAGCCGGTGAAGTCCCTCCGCTGGGGTCCAGTGGGGATCTCGCTCCCAAGGCCTGCTTACCCTAAGCCCTTGGCAAACTGTGGCACTGCCAGCTGTCACCAGGGCAGGCAACAGAATTTGCTTTAACTCTCGACTGACCTGCATCGTCACGGAGTCCTTTTCTGACAACCTTTGGGTCGTCCAGGGAGAAGCGGTTCTGCTCTTTAGCAATGCCAGCTCAGAGAGCCGGGTGCAGTGGCCCCCGACGGTGACTCAATGGGGTTTATTCTAGGTTCTGTAAACTCCCCGGAGCCTCTGGCCCAGGTCCCCTGCCAAGTTGCGTCACTGTGTACAGATGGGCATCAAGTCACTTTGCCCAAGTGTGTGACAACATCCCACAACGAACCAGTTGTCCTGAGTACGCCGTTCTAACAATCTTGGCCGGTGTTCTGCTGGGGGGCAAGGGGAGCAAGGTGGTGGCTAGGGATGACGTGGGGTCATCAGGAGCCTGTCCCACCTCCCCCCGGTCCCGAGCAGCCAAATACTGATGGTGGGGGTGTGGATCGTGACATTCTTCATGCCTGTCATCCCTGATCCTTGCCTGTCTGTTTGAAAATCGGGAACACTGAGCTTTGTCTTTGGGAACACACCATAGCAATGAGGTTTTAAAGATTTAACTGGATGGAATCTGCAGACGTTCCAGAGTGAACACAGCCTGTACCGTCATGAATTAAGTAAAGCGTGGCATACATAGTGAGAGCAGCACTATCTTCCTCCTGTTGCCAGCCAATGACTCTGTGGGGGGAAAGTGAAGGAAAAGCCCTGCATTGGGGAATCCCAAAGGCCCCCCAATTTCTGTCACTCAGTAGCTACAGGACCATAGGCAAGTCCTTTAACAGCTCTGAATCTCAGTTTCCCCACCTGTAACATGAGCTATGTTAGACTAGACTAGACTAGGTGCTAAACCTTTTTAGGAGCTATGGCCTGGACCCCGTGGCAGTCTGGTGAATTTTTAATTCTTCAAATTAATGTTTTTGAATGCATAAGATAAAATACGTAGGATCATAAAGGTAACCAGCTATATTAAAGTGAAGAGATAGTTTTGTTTTCCCCATCCAGTTCATGGATCCCCTGAAATCCACCTAAAGAGGACCCCTTTCCAGGTTAAGAACTCCTGGACTTAAATGAAAGTCCCCTTTCTACTCTGAAATGATGATACTAATGAATTTCATGATTCTTGAAACTCCCTGGGGGTAGCTAACAACTTGTGTGTCTTTCTGTGTCCAGATTTGTTACCGGGACCGCCTAAAGGATATCCGTGCCACCTTGGAAATCTCACCATTTTTCAAGTGCCATGAGGTAGGTAGACTGCTCTTTCAGTCTTTTGTGAGAAAAGATAAACCACCAGTAGTTCCTAAGTAAATGAATTCGCTTGTTTTCTTATGAGCTGGTTTGGGGTTTTTTTGTTTTGTTTTGTTTTGTTTTTTTAAAGGAAGACTATAGCTATAACTGAACCATCAAATACTGGGATCACCTTGCCATATTCAGGCCAGGAACCATGTGATGCCAAGCTGTCAGGCCCTGGGTACTAACTAGTGTTTGAGAAATTAAGTCATTTCTCCCCCTTTTCCTCTCCCCCTCCCAATTCCTAGCTTTCTATGTTTGTTACCAATGTGTGGATAAAGCATTGATTTCACATAACCTAGGCTCCTTCTCTTTGGGCTTAGGTTAAGATATTTCCTGAACTGTTTGGATGACAGGGGATCCCCCAGGATTATTAGATAAGGTTCTGGAGAGCTTATAGAAAGGTAGGAGGGGCAACTAGGTCGCACAGTGGTTAGAGCACCGGCCCTGGAGTTAGGAGGATCTGAGTTCAAATCCAGCCTCAGACACTTACTAGCTGTGTGACCTGAGCAAGTTACAACCCCAATTGTCTCAAAAAAATTTTTGAAAAGAAAGAAAGGTAACTAGCTCTAGGAGCCCCCACCAGAGCGGACATATTCTCATGAAGGGGCTTTCCATGCCTCTTGGAAACTAGAGGCCAGAATGACTGGAGTTAGCTTGAAAAGCCCCTGTGATGGCAAGGAGCCGAGAAAAACTAAAGAAGAGACACTGATCTGAGAAAAGAGGCAAGTCCCAGGGAGTGACGTCCAAGGCATCGGGGACCCTGGGTGTTCCCTCCTTCCCCCCAACAAGCTCACCCTGAGGAATGTAGACAGCCTGGCTTGCTTCAGAGAACAAGGATTTTGCAGCATATGTTAGCTTGACTGGATGAGAGTGGTAGGTCCGGGCTGCAGAATTGTAGAAGACACTGAATCCCTGAGGCCCTGAGATTTTGAATCTCTGACCTCACCTCTGTTCCTCTTTAGACACATCACTGCCCTTTCCTCTGAGCTGTGCATTTGGCTTGAGGAGCTGGGCATGGGGCAGTGTGTTACAATGGAAAATGCATTGGATTGTGGATGAGAAGACCTGGGTTCAAATCCTGACTCTGCTGCTTGCTACCTGTGGCAGGTTACCTTGTCTGCCTGGGCCTCAGTTTCCTTACCTGTATCTTTTGCCTCTTTTTGTACCACAGTGCCCGACACATAGTAGGCACTTAATAAATGTTGATTGATTGTAGGGAGTCCTTCTGATTCACTCTCCCAGAGCCAAGTGGCTCTCTCTTCCCTTAGGGTATCTCCCCTCAAGTATCCTGGGTATATCTCTTCTCTTATTCCCTCAGGCCAACACAGCAATTGAGTCATCCAGTGAGGAGAGCCTTCTGCAAAAGCTTCAGGCTTGAACCTAGGTTACCTTGGTGAAATGAGACTAATATGAGCCAAGTTCCTTCCAACCCTATGTCTATGAGCCTCTGAATCTCTGTCGGACCTGCTGTTTCTACCACCCCGCAGGCTTGGGGTTGAGTAATGAAGAACTCCAGTCTCAGCAGGCCAGTGGTCAAGCCAGCCCCGTAGAATGCCCATCTTTTCCCTCAGGGTCCTTCTTCACTGAGGCCATTCAGAGTTTCCCAGACTATCACCACCTCCAGAAGGGCCCAGCAGGCAGGAATGTTTTTGTGTTATAGGCAGCCTTTTTTTTCACTGTCACCCACAGCCAGAGCGTCTGATAAGATGCTGAAAGGTCGCCATTCATTCTGCCTGGCTGAAGCTCTCTCTGTCCCTTGCCTTTCCAGATCACACCTCCTAGAAAACAGACATTTGTTCCATGCCCCTCCCCCTCCTCAAAAAAGGACCACAGGGCAACGCCGGCTGCTGTGCTGGACCCACTGTCTGACTGCCTTCTCTCCCACCTCATTCCTTAACTCCATTCATGAGCCAGGCAGCCAGGCCCCTGAGGGGTGGGGGCGCAGGGGAGAGGGAGAAGGGGAAGGCGGGGGAGTAGAGATTCACAGAACCTAGGAATTCCCAGCTCAGTCTGCTGGCTATGTCTTTTGGCAGAATTTCCCAACTAGGCCAAAAAATGCAGACGCTGGCCATACCCCCAGCTTAGCCTAGTCTGGAATTATCTCCTGGAACAAGCAGGTCTGTGCAGGGAAGGGGCTCTAGAGGCCCTCCTGCCCTTTCCATTAGCTCTCCAGACTCAAGCCCCCTCTGCCTCGCACCAGCATTGCCAACCTGGTGCTTTCTATGGCGGGTTTTCCCTTCTTTTTCTTAGCACCTGTTATTTTGCTGCTGAGGCAATGGCATTTTTGTTTGAAAAAAAAAATCAACCTTCTTCATGTCCCAGAGTGAGGTTGCCGATCAGCCCTCCTCCTCCTCCTCCTCCTCCTCCTCAGGAAGGGGTCTGCATCCTGTGGGGAAGGAGGCACAGGTCTCTCCAGCTTGTGATGGCTGTTCCTGCCCCCTTCCAACAGCCCTGGGAAAGCTGGGAAGATGCTTGAAGACTTCCCCTGGCAGGGGGGGGGGGGGGGTCTGTCCTTTGGAAGCCATAGGGCATAGTATAGATGAGCGCTAAGGTTCCTTCCAACTCCGAATCTATGTTCCTGTGAAAATAGTGGATATAGACCCTAGGCAAGTCCTTGGGCCTCAGTGGTGAAGTGAGGGGGCTCTGAAGCTATGTGTGATTATCTCTGGACTCTCATATGCAAGGAACAGTTCTGTTCACTGCCTTGGTCAGACACAAGACCTAGTGGATCGGAAACTTACTAGGCGGGTGACGTTGGACAAGTCACTTAGCTTTGGTTTCCTCCCTAGTTTATAAGATAGGGATTAGAGCCAAGATTTCATTGGTATAGGGAACTCCCAAATGAGGAAATGCCTTCTACCAGGGAAGGTCAGTACCTTTGTGGCAACTTAAAGTCTTAGAAAATTACTCGGAGTGTTGTGACCTACATGGGGCCCCATAGCCAGTACATATCAGTGGTAGCATTTGAACCTAGGTCTTCCTTACTCTGAAACTGGCTTTCTGTCCAGTGTCCCATATTACTTCTCAGTATTATTATCGTTATTCTAATAATTATCATTATTAGTAGCTAATAACAGCTAACATTTATACAGTGCTTACTATGTGCCAGACGCTGTGCTGAGCATTTTATAATTATTATGTCATTTGATACCCTCAACAATCTTGGGAGGTAGGTGCTGTTATTATCTCCATTTTATAGATGAGGAAATAGAGGCAAGCAGAAGTTAAATGATTTGCCCAGGGTCACACAGCTAGGCACTCTCTGAGGCTGGATTTGAACTCAGATCTTTCTGACTCCAAGTATCCACAGCACTACCTAGCTGCCCCATTGTTGTAATTATCATTATAATTTGGTGCTAATTAGTGAAACCTAAACCCAGACCCAACTCTTTGGAGGGACACGACAATGTAGGCGTAGGACCGAGAGAATTCTGGATCATGTGGGCTTAGGTTAGCAAGTTATGGGGAGTTAATACTGCCATATTGGGGGAGGGGTGTGGTGGTGATTGGGAGATGAGCTCCCTACTCTGAGTACCACATGTCAGACTTGAGATGGAACAGCTTGGCTCTGCAATAATGAGCCTGGAGTATTCGCTAAGCAGATGAGGAAACTGAGGCCAAGAGAGATGGACAGATAGGTAGTAAGTAGAAGTCAGGTTTTGAACCCAGGTCCTCTCATGTACAATCCAGTGGGTTTTCCATGGTACATGCTGCCCTGTCACCCACCTAGTAAGTCTCAGAGCCAGGATTCACCTCCAGGCGTTCTTTTAAGAATTGCCCTCCTACCCAGGTTGAAAGTCTCTTTATGAATGGGGTCCAGAGCATTCCCAACTCCCTTTTCCTCCCCTTCCTCCCTGACCTTGGGGATATGGAATTCCCTGTCTGGATCTACTCTTAGGTTAAAGCATTTCAGCCAACTCCTTCCAGATTCCACACTCCAGAGGGCCTCTGGAATGTGCACTGGTCCAACCCAGGGGCTTAGGAAGGCCAGCCTGCCCCTTGAGCGGTTGGTGGCCTTTTGTTTTAAATGCATTCCGGCACCTCTCAACAGCTCACTTGGGGACAGAGTTGGGGCAAGGTGCCTGGGGTGAGGAGGGCAGAATTGGTAGGACAAGAACAGGGGAAGGGGAAGGAAGAAAAAAAGAACCCCCTTCAGTTCCCTCACTTTTGCTTTCGGGGGCTGAGCCTTGGGGAAACCTCCAGCCTCTCCCTCCCTCTTGGGATCTCTCAGTAGGGGAGTGAAGGTGGGGGCTGCCCACTGTTGTAAATAACTGCCCAGGCTCCCAAACACAGCCCTAGGGGAATGCAGCCCTGCTGACACAAGCAGGGGGGCCGGTGCCAAAAATAAAGCAAAGTGTGTATGTGGGGGTGGGAGAGGAGGGGGGAATGCAATCTAACCCGCCCCGGCCATCCTGGGCCTGGCAAGTGTGGATAAATGCCATTGTGCAGGGTGCCCAGTGGGAGAGAAATAGGAGGAGATGGTGAGGGAGGGAAATGCCTTTATAATTCCTTCTTTAAAATTATCCAGGCCTTTGGGAGTTTAAGAGCTTTTATGGCATGCACACTTTGCTTATCCGTAGCTTGGAGATTGTGTGTGTGTGTGTGTGTGTGTGTGTGTGTGTGTGTGTTTGTGTAAGGTACCCTTCTTTCCCACTTCTCCTGCCTTCCTCCTGCCTGACTCAAACCTGGAACTTTTTGTACAGCAAGGCTACACTTATTTTTAAACCCCAAATAATCACCATACTCCTCCCCAACAATAGTGTATTCCCAGGTTTCTTTCCCCTTTGTGTGCCTCAAAGTACCAGACCTCAAATCCTGCGAGATGCTATCCAGCCAAGCCCTGCCCCGCCACCATATCCCCTCCTAAGCCCCAGTTCTGCCCTTACCTTGTCATAGTGAAACCCAGCTGCTCGTACATTTACCCCAGAGCCCCACGCTGGGGGGTGCAGTTAGTATATGGTGGGTAGGAAGATGACTGAGGGGGCTCTCACATTACCTTGTGTGGCCCTTGGTGGTTCTGGCCTCCCTCCTAGAGTGGCATCTGATGTTTCTGGCTTGGAAGCCCCATCTCTGTCCACCACTCACACCGTCTCTGTAGTTTACCAGCGGGTTGCCCCTCTTTCTCTGTGTCTCTCTAGGTCCGTACCTTCCTCCCGGGATCATTGATGTTCTTCTAATGCCTGACTTCCTCTTCCAGAGGAGAAGGCTAAGAACAGATGAACCAGCTAGGTGTTGGGGAAAAAAGCAAAGATGAGAAGCTGCTTCTGAAGCTCCCCTCAGGAAGCTTACATTCTATAGGGGGATGCAGCTTGTCCACGTTAAATTACAAAACAAATAAGCATATATAAATATATATGCAATAAACACATTAGTAATATATACTGTTATATTGCATAGAAGACAATATGCAGATTATTACATATTACTATACACATCACATAAAATATAATACAATAATAAAATGAAATCATTTGGAGAGGGAGACATTTGTGCCTGAGGGGATCAGGAGGTGGCATTTGAGCTGAGCTTTGAAATCAACTAGGGATTTTAAGAGATGGAGATGAAGAGAGAGGGAGAACGTTCCAAATGTGAGGGATAACCTTGCAGAGGCATGGAGGATGGAGTGTTGGGTGTGGATTATTTAGAAGGCCAGTCTGGCTGGGGGGAAGTTGAAGGGGGAATAAGACCAGAAAAGTGGATTGCAGACAGATTGTGAAGAGCTTACATTTAATTCCAGAGACCATAGGAAGCCACTAGAGTGAGGCCCTCCCCTGATACGACGTATATAATACTTTTAAAACAGCCACCTTTTTTTTTTTTTTAAAAACCCCATTGATTGGTAAAGAAGTTGAGATCTTTTTATGGGCTTTCACCATAGCCCCTCTGAGTAAGAGAGTTGCACAGTTAGGTGGGGTGAGTGAAGAGGGCACAGGGAGAAAACAGAATTAATATCTGAGATTTTTAAGCAAGCCAGTTCACTGAAAAGCTTCATTGAGGTGGCAATAGTTCACAAGATGGGTCATCCATGGATCCCTTCCCTCCCTGCAGACAATTTAACACATAACCCAGAGCAAAGTGCCTTTGTGGGATTATTGGAAGGGATTTTAGAGGCCAGGTGGTCCAAGCCTCTGCCCCATGTAGCACTTTTCTCTGCGGCATGACACACAGGTAGTCACCCAGGATCTGAGAATGAAGTCCAGTGATGGGGAAATTTACTACCTTACTAAGTTTCATGGGAAAAGTCCATTTCATTTTCAGCTAACTCTTAGTTCTTAAGAAGTCTTCCCTCTCTCCCACCAACACACTTCCAACTCATTGCCCTGGTTTTACTCTCCAAAGTTATACAGAACAGGCCTAATCTCTCTTCCACATGGCATCCCATCAGATATTTGAAACTAGGAAGTCAGCTATCATAGGCCCGTCGGAGTCTTCTGTTCTCTGGGGCAAACATCCCCTGATCTTCACTCACATGGCATGGCTTGGGGTCCTCTCGCCATTGTAGCTACCCCTCATCTGAGCGTCCTCCCACTTGCCAATGACTCAGAAGTGAGCGCAGGGCCTAAGAGTGTGAGCTGAGTAAAGCAGAGAACAAGGGACTATAGCTTCCTTCACTCTGAAAACTGTGTGGCCTTCTGTCTAAAAGACCTCATTGTCTTTTTTTGGGTTGGGGAGAGGGGGGGAGCAACTGTAGCACATGTTGACTCATGTTGAACCTTGCAGTTCACTAAAATCAGCGAAGATAAGACAGTGAAAAACAAGGTGATAAGTCACAGTGTTCCATTCATGAGTCCCAAGAGTGTGGGTCTTAAGGTTCTGATAACAAGGAGAGTCCCCAGGGGGGCCAAAACAGACCATGAGTGTAGATTTTATTTCTCTCTCTCTCTTTCTCCCTGCTGCAGGTCATTGGCAGCTCTCTCCTCTTCATCCATGACAAAAAAGAGCAAGCCAAGGTATGGATGATTGACTTTGGAAAAACCACACCCCTTCCGGAGGGACAGACCCTTCAGCACAACATCCCTTGGCAGGAAGGAAACCGAGAAGATGGCTACCTCTCAGGACTGGACAATCTCATTGACATCCTAACAGAAATGTCTCAGAGCGAGGCCCTCCCCTGAGAGCCACTTTTTCCCTCCTCCTTGTTCTCAGTCTTCTCTCCTTCTCTCCCCTGCTATCTGGATTCTAGAACTGACTTCCAAACTGCACTATAAGACACTTTCTAGACGAAGAGAAGGAAAAAAAAAGAGATTTCCAAGCTATCTCTTTTAAATGAAAGGGTTTGTGTTAGGGTTTGGGCTGTTGTTTTTGGTTTGTTTTCTTGTAAATAGAATTGCATACTAGAACAACAATAACAAAAAAAAAAAAGAAGAAGAAACCCAAATTCAGATTTGACTTTGTGTAGAAAAGGATCCATTTGATTTTTCAGGGGTGGGGAGGAGATGGTGCCTGGCCCAGTGGTCTTCAAAGCATCCATTCTCCCAGCCAGATTAATATGAGTTTTTGAATACTACATTTTGCCCTCCACCCTCCTCCAGACTGATATGTTCTTTCATTCTTGCTAAAATTAGGGATAAATCAGTGTGGCAATCCCTGGTTCCGTAAGAGAGGATGTTCTAACTTTGTCCCACAGAGACAGCACTAAGCAGCTAAACATCAACCCTGTGGAGGGAGCCCCCAAGCAAATGCATTGGCAGGGATCAAACTTGTCTGTGGAGACTTGCTACCATCTAGTGGCTATTTTGGGTAATGGTTCTGAGCAGTCAGTCCATCCCTCACCCTGGGCATCTTGTGTAAGAGACCTTCAGAATTTTTACAGAGAGACTTGCAAGAATCTGGAATGAGCAGCCTTGGGGCTTCTGGGAGACCTAGAGCAGATCCTTTAACCCCACCTCCAATTTGAAATTCAATCCTTGGGGAAGTGGAGCCATAGTATTTCTGGGGTCAGTGGCAATTTTTTTTGGGGGCGGAAAGGGGGGAGAACTAGGTCTCCCTATGGAAATTCAGTATCATTCCCCCAGGGCCGGATCCTACTTCTGATATCTGCTTTTCCAACCTAGGCTAATTTGCCCCTCCTTCCTTAGGCAGCTTGGTGGCCTTCCACTTGAGGGGCTCACCATATTGGTGCCAAACTTAGTGTGGACACCTTTTCCACTTTAGCTCTTCAGTAGCATATTTCCAGAAGGAAATAATTCCAACTCTTCAATTGATAATGAGCACAGCCTTTCAAGGCATTCAATTTTCCACCCTCCCAAACTTCCTTCCTTTTTTTTCTTCTCTATGCCCCCATGTCTCCATGAAGCTGAAACATGAGAGTTGGAGTTGCTTAGCCAGGATACTTGAAGAGCAAACTACCCGTAGAGGGGAGAGGTGAAAATATGGGTACTCTTCAGCCCATGGAAAAATGTCAGGAGGTTCTCAGAAAATTCCTTGGAGACTGACAGAGAAGGAGGCCTTGAGCCCCCATCTCTGCAGGCTCTCTATCTTTTATACCTCCCACTCCAAACCTTTCATCTTCATCAGCTGCAGTCAGCACCATCTACCACATACATATTCAGGAGGTCACCATACTAGGCACCCCAGGTTCTGGAGATCTGAAATTGGTACCTGAGGGAATTTCTGAATGGTGTTATGCATGGAGGAAGCACCGTCTCTTTGTATTATTATTGTCACTTTTTTCCAGAGAGAGAGAGAGAGAGAGGAAGAATTTGAGGCATCAAAAACTTTTTCAGCCAGAGATAGAGGATTCCAACTTAGCTAAATGAAAGAGAGAGAGAGAGAGAAAGAGAGAGAGAGAGAGAGAGAGAAAGAGCTATCTCTACTATGTGTTCAACATTGGGTTTCTGGGATGAGATTGTCCAGGTTAAGAGATTCCTGGGTCAGGGAGTTGTGCAATGATTTATCACCTGCCCCTACCCACCAGGATCCCTTGGGAGAAGTACATATGGATGTGCCTGGCTATGACACCTTATGGATGGGCATGTGTATATTTATCTTTACATAGCTAGGAAGTTATCGGGAGGTGATCTGATATACTAACTAGAAGAGAAACGATGTGGAGCTGTCCAAGGGGAGCTATAAAAAATTTTAAACTTGTATAGATTTTGTTGAACAGAGAAGTGAGCTCCCAAGTAAGCTAATTCAGCCCCTCCCCACTTTCCTGTCCCAGCAAACAAAGAGAAACCCTGTGATGTGCATGTTAGCGGTTACAGTGTGCAGAGGGGCCTGAGATCCAAGGATAGCTTTGGGTGTCGTAGGAATGTTTATTGGGTATTCCAGGCAATTCTTGGCCGAGATCACTAGTAAGACAGGCTCTAGAGGAAATCAGTCTCCCAATCAAATCAGTCAATCAACAAATAATTATGAATGTTTGTTCCTCCCACACAACTATCGTAAAGTCTCATGAATTCAACCCCTGCTAATCTGGAATTCTTGTTAATTCAGATGTGGGTTGGGCTGAAGTTGACTTTTACACTGTATAGGAAGGAAAACGTTTTGCTCAGCAAACTAATAGTTTAAACAGAAGGCCATCTCCAGTCATCCTGATCTGTATCTTACCACTGGAACCGGATGACTCTGGAGGAGAGAATGAGGCTGACAACTCCCACTCCAAACCTTTCCTCTTTGTCAGCTGCTGTCAGGACCATCTATCACATATTCAGGAGGTCACCACAGCAGCCTCCCTCACATCCAATTCACTTGCAAGTCATGGCATCGCCTTTCTGATGTCATGGTCCTCTTCAAGAACAAGGACAAACAAAAACAATAGTTTAAACAAGATCTAAGGAGATGTTGATGTTTAACCCACTTAAGAGTACAACTTTCAAGAAAATTATATTGTAGATTATGTGCTAAAGAAAATGACATTCCTTAAAGCTACTCAACAAAACAGGTCCTTCAGGGTCTCTCCTTGGCTAGGCCTCATCAGTCATTAGTTTGGGTCCTTGAAAACAGCAAAACTGCCTTTCTTTCCAGTTCTCCCATAGTTGAGATTTTTCAGTGTTGAGGCCGGTTCTCCACCCAGCACCCAGCCCCCTTTCTCCCTAATACAAGTTGCTGAGGTTTACACTGTATTTCCAAGTTGCAAATCCATCCTTCACCCTCCTTCCCTTTTATCATCAGATCCCCTTTTGTGTCCAGTTCATTGGCTTTTTCATCCTGGCCTCCATACTGCAAGGAAGGCCTAGAATGGAAAATCCAGAAAGATTTTTTTCCCTCTCCTCTCAGACTTTAGTGACTAATTAGGGTCTCCATTGGGTCTTGGACATTTAGGGACAGCAGGAAAAATGGCTGAGTTGTATGTATGTATGTTATCCCCTTGTCATTTTTTTCTTTAATAAGACTATAGCAGATAAGACAAGTCTTCTTACCTTTCTAAATTATGCGGGATGTAGTACTAATTTGTCTGCACTGTTGAGCTTTTATCCAAGTTTTATCCCTAGCTGCTTTAGGTGGATTTGCCTCTAGTGTCATGGAAGAAATTTTTAAATTATATTTATTTTGTGTTGGTTTTTTTTTAATTGCACAAAACACTAAGACTAAGTACATGTAAGTTTGTTTGGGTTTTTTTTAAGCTTTTTGTTCTTTCTGAACTTACTTTCTCAGCTTTTTGGAAAGGGCCTGGAAGTAGCTTTCATGCATTTGTCAGGTTTTCCTTTCCTGTTTTTTCGCTGTATTTAGCATTGCCTTTCTCTAGACATGGTTAGCCTCCACATGTATATAAAGCAGGCCCTTGCTTGATGGGTTTCACAGAAAAAGCAGATTGTTCATTCCCATTGTTGGTGCCTTCTCTTTTGGCCAAGAGCCTTCGTTCCCTCCACCCTTTGCCTGGTCATTAGATAAAAATCCGAATTGTCATAAAACACCAGCACACAGTGCCTGTATGAAAAGCAACCAATGACCTGTAACTTCCTAAATAAAGGTATGTGGAAACCATTGAAAGGGTCTCTCTGGTGTGTCTTTTTTGTAAAGGAAATTGTAGTGTTGTGTTGGGTTAGGTGATTTATATTAGGATTATAGAATTTCAGACAGGGAAAGGACCTTCAAGACAAGTCCAACTCTCTGACTTTATGAGAACTGAGGCCCAAGAAGGGAGGTGACTTGTCCAAGGTCACAAAGCTAGTAAGTGACAGGGCCTCAATTCAAACTTCTATTTTCTGACTCCAAAGCCCATTTTTTTTTTTTTTAAACCACACAAATTCCTTGACTGTCTCTGGTAATGGAGACAAGCCTAGTGTGTATTATTAAGAACTGTACAATTTGTATATAACATCTGTACACAAACCTTTTCTACTGACTTAACAAAACTTTTAAAAATTATTTATATTGTTGATTAAAGAAATGTAAATTAAAATAACTGAGGTACCATCTCACACGTATCAGATTAGCTAATATGACAGAAAAGGAAAATAATAAATGTTGGAAGGGATGTGGGAAAACTGGAACACTAATGCACTGTTGGTGGAGTTGTGAACTGATCCAACCATTCTGGTTAGCAATTTGTAACCATGCCCAAAGGGCTGTAAAACTGTGCACACCCTTTGACCCAGCAATACCACTACTAGGTCTGTATCCCAAAGAGACTTTTTTAAAAAGGGAAAAGGACCTATTTGTACAAAAGTGTTTATAGCAGCTCTTTTTGTGGTGGCCAAAAATTGGGAATTGAGGGGATGCCCGTCAATTGAGGAATGGCTGAACAAATTGTGATATGTGATTCTGATGGAATACTATTGTGCTATAAGAAATGATGAGCAGGCTAATTTTAGAAAAACCTGGAAAGACTTACATGAACTGATGCAGAGTGAAGAGAACAGAACCAAGAGAACATTTACACAGTAACAGCAATATGAACAACTATGAATGACTTAGCTCTTCTCAGCAATACAATGATCCAAGACAATGATCCAAGACAGTCCCTAAGAAATCATGATGAAAAATGCTATCCAACTCCAGAGAAAGAGTTGATGGATTCTGAATAAAGAGCAAAGCATACTATTTTTGAGCTTTGTTTCCTGCTTTCATTTCTTTTTTTGCTTTTTCTTCCACAAAATGACTAATATGGAAATGTGTTTTACATACCTGCACATGTGTAACCTAGATCAGATCTCATATCATCTCAGAGAAGAGGGGAGAGAAAGATAGAATTTCAAATTCAAAACTTTTTTGTTTTTACATTGGGGGAAAATAAAATATTATTAAAATTATTATTTAAACCTGATAGGGCTTATATAGAATTTAGAATTTAAGAGCTGGGCAAGACCTGAGAGATTAACTGATTTCAAAGTTTGCTGCCCTTTTAACAAAGAAACCATGGCCCAGAAAGGTTAATAAACCTGTTCAAAGTCACACAGCAAAGAGTACAGCCGGGACTGGTCTGAGTCTTTGGTGAGGTGCTCCTTCTACTACACCACACCCCCAAGGAGCAAACTTGACAAGTTTTTCACGTTCGCCCTTTTTTTAAAAAATTACATTTTTACATTGAATTTAAGCAAATACCAAATAAAATGAGTACTTCTACATGCATCGTAGAAAATAAAAGGATTATACATGAAACTGAGTCCCCTTACTCTTCCCCAAGCCCTGTCTGCCAAAGGAACTAACAAGCAAGAAGATGGTCAAAAAACAAGGGGCAGAAAACCCCTGGTTAGTACATTGGATGTTTACATTTGCCTTTGTCTTGTGCTGCCCACTTCCACCCTGGATTCCTTCTCACTTGTGGACCCCAGGTTTCCCTTTAAAGTGTTGGCCTTCAGAGTGAGTGTCACCTGTGGTTCAGGGCCTCTCAAGGACCATGGGCCCTCACTAGCATTGATCCCATCTTGGGAGCTGACCCCAAAGGATCATTATCTCTTTCTTTGGCCCATGTTCTCCCATCCTGGGAAATCTGCTTAATAAATCTTAACTGTGATTCCTCTGTTTTCTCCAAAAGCGAGTAATAAGGTCCTCAACTCTATATAGACACTCAACATTCAATATAGAGATTAGTTATACAGGCCTTTATTTCTCCTGCCACAGACAGTGCGTAAGACACAAAGGACACATAGGACCTCAGGAACAAATACAAAAACACTCAAAGGGTATGTGTGAACAGTTATTTATCCAAGGAGGAAATCCAGGCTATCAACAGCCATATTTTAAAAACTCGCCAAGTCATTAATTAGAGAAATGCAAAATAAAGCAACTTTGAGATTCTCCCTTACAGGTAAAAGATTGGCAAAGATGACAGAGAGGGGGAAAGGCGGTTGTTGGAGGTGTTGCTAGGGAAACAGGCATGCTAACACTGTTGGTTAACGCTTCCTCTCCCCATTCCCCAGCACACAAACCCGGAGAATAGAAGGCATTGCCCGAGTCTGTCCTCTCATAGGCGGTAGAGCAGAGTGATTCTTGTCCTCTCCATCTCGGCAGCATAGAATTTCATTATTAGAGGTGTCATTTGGGGAGGAGGATTGTAAGGAATTGGGGGAAAGGTCCTTTGAGGTGTGAGAATAAGGAAATAAAAAATCTGAGGACCACAGCCCTGAAGGAAATGGGAGCCCTGCTTCTGGAGAGTGTGTGAATAACTAGAAAGTCTATTTTAAAGACCTTTCCTCACTTCTGCTCTGCCTTGGACTGCAGGGACACCTGCTTTCACCTCCTTGAGATCTACTGTCCACGTTGGGTTCTATCTTGTTGTCAGGTGGGTGGTCCAGGCATTGAAGTCAGAAAGATCTGAGTTCCAATCCGGCCTCAGATATTAACTGGGTGACCCTGAGCAAGTCACATAATCTCTACCTCAGTTTTCTCAATTGTAAAATGGGGACCATAATAGCACCTATCTCACAGGGTTATTATTAAGGATCAAATGAGGGAGTATTTGTAAAGAGATTAACACAGTGCCTGGCACAGAGTAGGGGCTTAATAAATGCTCACCACCATCACACAAAGATACAGACTCTCTCTCTCTCTCTCTCTCTCTCTCTCTCTCTCTCTCTCTCTCTCTCTCTTTCTCTCTCTCTCTCTCTCTCCCTCCCTCCTTCCCCCTCCCTCTTTTTCCCTCTCTTTCTTTCTCTATCTCTCCCTCCCTCTCTCTCTCTCCCAACAAAGGGCAAAGGGAAAGGGTCTGCAAATTTCATTCACAGGCCACTGGAGGCAAAACGAATCCTAGCAAGAAGCAAGCAATCTGTTTATTAAATGCCTGCTCTGTGCCAGGCTCTGTGCTAAGCCCTGGGCATATAGTGACCAAAATGGAACTGTGTGGACCCTCAAGGAGCATATATTCTATTGGGAGAAATAGATATAGATATATAAATGTTTAGATACTTACAAACTATACACAAGGCAAATACAGTGTAATTTTGGGGGAAGAGGCACAAGTAGCTGGAAGTGGAGAGTGTGGAAGAGTATCAGAAAAAGATCTGGAGTAGAAGGTGGCATTTGAGGTGAACCCTAAAAGAAACAAAGAATTCCCTAAGAGGCAGTCAGTGAAAAGGAAGCCCTAAGTGGTAATTCTTACTGAAGCGACATTCTAGGGCCTGCCTAGAATCTCTCCAAACCCTGTGTGATGTCCCAGCATTGGGACAAGGCTGGCCACCAAGAGCATTCTGTTATTTATTCATTTCGCCGCTGGAAAATTCACACTTTTCTCAGGAGAGGAGAGGGTTAATCAATAAATGGCACATGGTATAGTGGAAAGAATGCACCAGCAAGTCCCTGACCCACCTGTGAGCATGACTGGGCACCTCCCAATCAAATGGGGATTTATGCAGGTGTCTGAGTTACAAAGCAAGTCCTCATTGCATGAGGCAGATCAGGTGGGATGTGTGTGTGTGTGTGTGTGTGTGTGTGTGTGTTATGTTCACATATATACACAACTATAAGATGTCTACTCACTTAGTACATGGAGTTAAAAACTAAGACAGTCTCACCTAATACAAGGTTTCTTACCGGGTCATCTTACCAGATGAATTGGGGTAAGCAAGCCACTAAAGTGCTAACTCTTTTATTCTAGAGGTTGAGTCATCCCCAAGTAGCTAAGACTATAAAATCATCTCAGCCTTTGGTCTTACTGGACCCCTTTCTTCATTTTTCTGTGCTCCTATTCTGTCCTAGCCATGAATGACTTCTTACTGCCCTCCTACTATTGAGGGCAGCTAGGCGGCCAGGCCTGAAGTCAGGAAGACTCAACTTCATGAGTTCAAATCTTGCCTCAGACACTCACTAACTGTGGGACTGTGGGCAAGGCACTTAAAACCCTGTTTGCCTCAGTTTCCTCATCTGTAAAATGAGCTGGAGAAGGAAATAGCAAACCACTCCAGTACTTTGCCAAGAAAACCCCAAATGGGGTCATGGAAAATTGAAGACCACTGAAAAATGATGTAACAGCAACAACAACAATAACTCTTGAGGAAAGTAATCTGATGATTTAATTCAGTAATCAAAGTAAACTAATACTCATAACACATTCATTTAACATTTTAAAGTTTAGCTCATAGAAGCTCTGTGAGGTGGGTAGTGGAAGTATTATTATTTCCAATTTCTGATTTACTGATAAAGAAACTGAGAAATCCAGTGACTTGCCCAAGATCAAACAGTTAGTGAGTATCATTGTCAAGATTTAAAACTAGGTCTCCTTGGTACAGCACTGACACTCTTCATTTATGCTGAGAGAGAGTGTGTTATTTCTCCCAGGACTGTGTGCGTATATAGGGAAGTGTGTTTTAAAGGCGACTTATTGAGAAAGGAAAATGCTTAACCCAAAGGAATGACTCACTAGTATTGGAATTTCCTGCAGTCTGGAACCTGAGGGGAAAAGATTTAGGGGAAAGGGAAGAGTTTACCCGAGTCTCCTATGACTTGGGTGAGGGCCTGCTCTACCTTCCAGTAAGGTTAGTGGTCTCTGTTCAGAAGGCCAGGTAGTACAGGGGACAAGGAGGACAGAGACTGCATTTCTAGATATTCCGGGT